ATGGAGTCGGCGTCGCCGGTGGACGTGTCCTTCTGGCCCATCCACCCGACCGTGGACCGCCTGCTCCAGTACCGGCGCATCGTGCGGCCCTTCAACGACTCGTCGTGGGTCACGTCGACGGACCTCGGCGGCGCGAAGGCGTGCCAGTACTCGCGCTACGGCTGCGACGGCCACCACGCCTTCGACCTCACCGTGAGCCCGACGCGCGTCGCCGACCCCTCGGCGCCCATCAACGGCTCCAAGTTCACGTCGACCTTCCTCTCGAACGGCGACCTCTTCCACATGCTCAACCCCCACGAGTACCGCATGTCGTTCCTCTACGACTCCTTCACCTGGTCCCACTGCGACGACGTCGGCGTCAAGTTCCCGGCCCTCGACTGGGGGACGGACCTCGCCTAGGCGGGGGGGGGCGCTTTATGGTTTGTCGATCGCGAGCTCATTTTGTTGCCTGTGCAAGTGCATCAATCTTGAGGCCTTGGGAGAGTGCGGCGAGAGCGGCTTCGCATCGTTCTCCGCCTTGCGCGCCGCCGACGGCTTCGCGCCGCACCGCTGTGGCCTTCGGAGAAGTCGTCGTTCTCCTCCTTGCGCGCTGCCGACCGCTTCGCACCGCACCGCAGTGGCCTTCGGAGAAGTCGTCGCTCGCCGCCCGCGCGCGCCGCCGGACCGCTTCGCACCGCACCGCTTCGCGCCGCACCGCTCGCAAAGCGTCTCAGCAAAAAGCACAGCTCCATGGCGACGAGCGGTGCCTGGAAGGCCGCCGCGACCTGCGCGACGTCGCTGGCCGTCGCGGCCGTCGCATACCTGGAGTGGGAGCGGCGCTACTACGACCGCGAGATCGAGAAGCTGGCCGCCGAGCGCCGCCGGCTCGAGCGCGCCGACACCGTCGAGGCGGCGGACGTGCTCCGCGGCGTCGACGTCTGGAGCCTCAAGGGCGAGTACTACCAGGTCCTGGGCCACGCGTGGAACCACGAGAAGAAGGACTTTGACGTCGTCTACCGGCCGCTCTACCACTGCGAGGCCAAGGCGGACCGCTTCGAGGCGCACGTGCTCGCCGTGTCCCACTTTGCGCGCTGGGAGGCCAAGTTCGAGCGCGTGGCGGACCTCGCGACGCTCCCGCCCGCGGCCGCGGCGCTCCTGCTGCCGGGCCCGTTCTGGCACGACCCGCTCTGGACGCTCTCGGACCGCGCCGCGCCGCGCGCCGGCGCGACGCGCAGCGGCCTCGGCTCGCGGAGCCACGAGTACGCATCGGTGTAAAGTACTGTCTGTTTATGTTTCGTGTTGGCTCGCGCCTAGGGTGCCTGATCCCTACTAAATCGATTTTTGTGGCAGAATTATCAGGAGTTAGATCGACTAGAGCTAGGAGGCGGCGCGATGGCGGAGGTCCCGCGTGCGATCGTCAAGGCCGTCATGCGCACAGGTGATGTTCGGAAGGTGTGTGCGTGGATCAGGGACGGTGGTGACGTGAACTCTTCGTGTGGCGACGATTACAACGATGTCCCGCTGCTTCATCACGCTACTAATTTCGGTCATCTCGGGATTATCAAGCTACTATTAGAAGCTGGCGCTGATCCGAATCAGCCGGGTTACTTTTATGGCACGCCGCTGAATGTGGCTTGCTTGGACAACTTCGATTTTATTGAATCACCTTCTGAGATAGCCGCGGCACTCGACGTGGCGCGACTTCTTTTGGACTACGGCGCCGACGTCGATGGCATGTCAAAAATTGATTATGAACATTTAAGAGAAAGGAAGCAGCGTCGGCCCTATGTAGGTATGAATCTACTTGGGATGGTAATAGCTCTGGATTAAGCGAAGACACGGCGAAGGCCGACTTCGACCGCGCCGGCGCGTTCGCGTCGACGCCGGAGATCGAGCTCCTGCGGCGCGCCGCGGCCGTCAAGCTCGAGACGGAGTCGCTGGCGAAAGAGACCGAATCGCTTTTGAAAGAGGGCAAGGCCGCGGGCGTCGACGAGATCCAGACGATTCTGAGCGCTGCGAAAGAGCCTGGAGCGTCTGCATTCAATCTTGGTAAGGGTCATGAAGGAGAAATCGCCCACTGTCTCCTTGAAGATTTGTTTGGCGGCCCTGACCAAAGAGACATCGAAATCGAAGAAATCAAGTTTCGCTTGAAGGCGGCCCGAAAGTGGTACAAGCGGGCGGCCAAGGAAGGCCACCAGGGTGGCATCGACGCGCTCGCGCGCCTGGAGGCGCTCACGCGCCTCGCGCGCCTCGACTGACCGCCTGCCCGCGGCCGCGCGCCGCAGTGTATCGCCACGACCTGGAACTTCTAAACGTGTCGGCGCGAGTGATAGGGCGTGGTCGCGGCGACGCCGAAGCCCTCGCCATTTCAAGCAGCTACGGCCTCAAGGGGGTGCCGGAGTGCAAATACGCGTCCGTTTGGCGAGCGACTGAGAGAAGTGGTGAAAAGCTCGAGCGCCCAAGCACCGCGTTGCTCGTACCCGCAAGCCCCGACGAAGATGTCCACGCGCGCCCGGAAGAAGGCCAAGAAGTCGGGCGAGAGCGCCTTCTCCCAGAGCGTCCTGGAGTCCCTCAATTGCCCGATCACGGCGGCGCTTCCCGTGCTGCCAGTCCTCGCCGAAGACGGCCGCATCTACGAGCGCGCCGCCATCAAGCGCTGGCTGTCTAAGAAGGCCAAAAGTCCTCTGACGAACCTACCGATGGGTGAGCATCTCGCGGACGCGTCGGGGACGACGCGGCCGCTGGTCCTCTCCGCGATCGAGAACGGCGTCGTCGATGACGATTCCGCGGCCGCGTGGCACCTTGGAAGCGCTAAGGCCAAACTCGCCGGGGAATTGCCGGGCGAGCTGTCGTCGGTGAAGATCGACTTGGACCGCGCCGGCGCGTTCGCGTCGACGCCGGAGATCGAGCTCCTGCGGCGCGCCGCGGCTGTCAAGCTCGAGACGGAGTCGCTGGCGAAAGAGACGGAATCGCTTTTGAAAGAGGGCGCGGCCGCGGGCACCGACGAGATCGCGACAATCCTCGGCGCCGCTGAAGAGCCTGGAGCGTATTGGTTCAGAGCTGGGGTCCAGTATGAAGGTTTTATGGCCGATGAATATGACTCGGAAGACGTCAAGGACATCGAATCAGCCAATAACCTTCTGAAGCAAGCCAGAGTCTGTTACACGCGGGCGGCCGAGGAAGGCCACCGGGGCGCCATCGCCGCGCTCGCGCGCATGGACGCCATCGCCGCGCTCGCGCGCCTCGACTTCGCGGGCGACGACGACGCCCAGCGGCGGCGACTGGACGGTCGCCGCGGTGTCCAACTTGGTGTCCACTTGATTCAGTCGCCGCGCGCCGCCGCCCTGCGCCTCGGCGAGCGCTCCGGCGACGCGCGCCTCGAGTGACCGCCTTCGATTCCTGGCCCACGACGCCGTCGTGACGCTCAGCCCTCTCCTGACTGACGCCACAACCCCACTCCCCCCCGCTCGCACCTCAAACTAAATCGAAATCGTTACAAACTCGCGCTACGCCTGCGAGACGACGACATCAGCACCGAGGAGCGCACGGGCGAAGCGCGGCGGACGACCGTGACGCGGTCTAAGGTTGGAACGAAGTGTTTCTCTCAGCTAAATATTCTCAGTGAACTTTGAAGGCTTCCGGAATCTCTCATCATCGACCGCGCGCGGTCGCCGCCGATGAGCGGACGCGGCCGCGCGCCGAGCGAGGGGGAGACGCCCGCGGGAGCGCGACGCGGCGATCGCCTGCGGGGCGGAGCGCGTCGCCCGCGGCCGCGCGGCGTCCCCCGTGGCGCGCGCGACGCGGTGGCTGCCGTCGGACACGCACAAAACGTTTGGCCTCTACACGCGTAGTTTCGGAAGGATCCATTGGTAAGAGTATTCTCGTCACCCGGCGCGGACGAACGGAGGCGCTCGGACGCGGCGGCGCGCGGCGCGGAGGTCGCCCGAGCTTCGCCGGCGGCGCGCGCGTGCCTGCGGGCGTGTACCGCTGAGACAGGTCACCCACGGCCGGTGTACGGCGACCGTTGGTGGTTATAGATGCGGCTTTGGCGCTCTCCCGCGCCAATCCTAAGCCCGAGCGCCGTGGAAAAAAGACCCCGTTTTGGAGGCGTGCGCCGTGCTTGTAGTGGCGCGGTGTGTTTTGTGTGAAGGGTGTGCGTGTGTGTGTGGGACGCGGGCGCGGTACGGCTGCTGCGGCTGCGGTGCGTGTCGCGCGGCGCCCGCGGCTGCGGCGTGCGTGTCGTGCGGCGCGGGCCCGCGGCTGCGGTGCGTGTCGTGCGGCGCGCCCGCGGCTGCGGTGCGTGTCGTGCGGCGCGCCGACGGCTGTGTTGTCGTGCGGTGCGCGCCCTGCTGCCACTGCGCTCGCAGTGCCACTGGCGCTCGTCCTCGCCAAGTCCGCCGGGCCGTGGTTGCCGGCAACGTATCCCGATTGCGGGTCCGCAACGGCGTCTCTCCCGGGACGAGACGCGCTGGCTGCCCGGTCGGTGGAAGGTCGTCGCCCTCTGGCATAGGGGGAGGCGGTCGCGACCCGGTAACGCGACATGGCGTTGACCCAGCGCCACCACTGGGTGGTGGCGAAGATCGTGTCGGCCTTTGAGCCGGACATCGACAACATCAAGGTCCGCGCCGGCGCCGCGCGAAAACATCCCCGCGCCCCGCGCCCCCCGCCCCTCCCGCCCCCCCGTCGCCGCGGCGCGGCGCGGATCCGGCGGCGCCGCGTAGGTGCAAGGCTTCGTGCGCCAGCCCGCCAACGCGTCGAAGCTGCTCGCGTTTTTCAACGGCGAGGCCGCGGACAACAAGCTCTTCGTCTTCTACCAGCCGCCGGCCGTGGACCAGGGCGACGTCGACGCCGAGGGCTGGCCGGGCAACGAGCAGCCCCCGGAGCTCTTCTTCAGCCAGGGGTCGACGACGCGGCTGACGACGAAGTGCTGCGTCTTCGTGCGCGCGGTGCCCCCGGGCACGGCCATCGACCTCACGAAGCAGTCGACGGCGGAGCTGCTCTACTGCGAGCTCAGCGGCACGGCCCTCGGGTCCATCTCGACGTACCTCGACTCGTGCTTCATGCCGGCCTTCGACTCGAGCGAGCAGTGGGGGAAGGCGTCCGAGGAGCAGCGGTCCGACTTCACGACGGAGATGGGCCACTTCATCTCGACGGTCAAGGAGGCCCTGAGCAGCCTCATCGGCGGGCTCGTGCTGGACAAGCCGACGCTCACGTCGCCGGACGTGCTGAACGCGAAGACGTTCAGCCAGCAGGCGAAGCAGAACCCGGAGCTCATCCCGCACTTCGAGGGGCTCCTCGAGGGCTGGTGCAACCAGATCCAGGCCTACCTCGACGAGCCCACGTCGAAGCAGACGGCCGACGACGAGTCCGAGGACGTCGGCCCGCTCAAGGAGCTCGACAACTGGCGGAACCGCATGCAGCGGCTCACGTCGATCGCGGAACAATTAAAACGGAAGGACTGCAAGTCCGTCATCAACCTGCTCCAGAGCGTCACGAAGAACAGCGCGGACCCGTCGAAGCAGAAGATGATGTCGCTGTTGCGCCGCTGGAAGCAGACGGACGTGAACATCACCGAGGCCGCGAACGAGGCCAAGGACAACGTCAAGTACCTCTTCACGCTCGAGCGCTTCATCGAGCCGCTCTACAAGGGCACGGCGACGACGATCATCGACACGCTGCCCGCGCTCACGAACAGCATCAAGATGATCCACACCATCGCGCGCTACTACTCGACGAACGAGCGCATGACGGTCCCCGCCCGCGCCCCTTCGCGTCGCTTCGAGCCGCGCGCGCGCCGCTCACCCCGCGCGTCCCCCTAGGCGCTCTTCGCGTGCATCACGGACCAGATGATCGTCAACTGCAAGGCGTCCATCTGGGGCATCCGCCCGGACGAGGTCACGAAAACGATCGATCCGTCGCTCCACGACTCGCTCTGGGAGAAGGACGAGCAGGAGCTCGTCCGCCAGCTCGAGAGCTGCCTCAAGCTCTCGGAGGCGTACCAGGAACAGTACCGCCTGACGAAGAAGAAGCTGCAATCCATGCCCAAGGGCAAGCAATTCGACTTCAACGAGATGCACATTTTCGGCAAATTCGACCTCTTCTGCCGCCGCATCATCAAACTGATCGACATGTTCTCGACGATCGACCAGTTCAAATCCCTGAGCAACAACAAGCTCGAGGGCGCCGCGCCGGCGTCCGTCTCCGCGGGGGCGGACTCGACGCGATGAGGACGTCGCGCCGACCGCCCGCGCGGCCGCGCGCCGCCCCGGGGCGCCGGGCGCGTCCGCCGACCCGCGCGCGCGCTCCGCAGGCATGGAGGAGCTCATCGATCAGTTCCACAACATCGTGCGCGACTTCCGCCAGAAGAACCACGACCTTTTGGACTACCACAACAACAAGTTCGACCGCACCGCCCCGCGTCCGCGCTTCTCTCCCGCGCCCGGCGCGCGGCGCGCGCGTCGGCGCGCTCCCCGCCGGCGGCGCGCGCTCCTGGCCGGCGGGGCCTGTCCCCGGCCGCGATTCCGGGGCCGAGCGCGCCGCCGAGCGCGTCGCCGAGCGCTCCGCCGAGCGCTCCGCCGAGCGCTCCGCCGGGCTCTCCGCCTCGCCCGGCGCGCGGCGCGCGCGTCGGCGCGCTCCCGGCCGGCGGGGCGCGCTCCGGGCCGGCGGGGCGCGTCCCCGGCCGCGATTCCGGGGCCGCGGCGCGTCGCCGAGCGCGTCGCCGAGCGCTCCGCCTCGCTCCCGTCTCCGCGCGCCCAGCCCCCTCACCGCCACGCTCCCGCAGGCGACTACGTCGAGTTCAACGTGAAGATCAGCGACCTGGAGGGCGCGCTACAGCACTTTATCAACCAGTCGTTCGAAAATATCACGTCTATCGAAAATTCGTTGAACCTGCTGCACAAATTCCAGTCGATTCTGCAGCGCGAGACGCTCAAATCGGATCTGGACAGCAAATTAAACATCATCTTCCAGAACTACGGCATCGAGCTCGAGCAGGTCCAGCAGCTGTACGAGAAACAGAAGCACGACCCGCCGATTCCGCGCAACCTGCCGCCGGTCGCGGGCAACATCACCTGGAGCCGCCACCTCCTGAAGCGCATCGAGGCGCGCGCCCGCGTCTCGCACGCGCCCCTTCCCCGCGCCGCGGGCGCTCCCCGCGCCGCGGGCGTCCGGGGGCCCCGCGCCGCGCACGCCCGGGACCCGCCTCGGCCGCTCGCGCGCCGCCGTCGCGCGCCCGCCGTCGACGCGCCGACCGCTCACGCCCCCGCGCCTTCGTAGGAGCCCATGAAGCAGTTCGAGTCGAACCAGAACGTGCTCGACGGCCAGGGCGCGCGGCGCATCATCCGCATGTACAACAAGCTCGCGCGGACGCTCGTCGCGTTCGAGTACCTGTGGCATCAGGCGTGGGTCCAGTCCATCGACCAGGCCAAGTCGGGGCTCCAGGCGACGCTCATCATCCGCCACCCCGAGGACCAGAAGCTGTACGTGAATTTCGACATGGAGCTGCTGCAATTAATCCGCGAGGCCAAGTGCCTCGATCGCATGGGCGTCGAGATCCCGGAGTCGGCGAAAATCGTGTTATTCCAGGAGGAGAAGCTCAAGAGCTACTACAACGACCTCCACTGGGCCCTCAACGAGTACGACCGCATCGTGACCATGGTCATCCCCGTCACGGCCATGGTTTTGCGGCCGCACTTCAATGACATGGAATACGAGCTTCGACCGGGCATGATCACGCTCACGTGGACGTCCATGAACATCGATTCGTACAAGAGCCACGTGCACCACGGGCTGCGCAAGCTCGAGCAATTGGTGACGAACATCAACGACATCATCGAGCACCGCGTAGAGAAGAACCTCAAGGTCGTCTCGCGGACGTTGCTCGTCGACTTGCCCGAGAACCAGTCGTTCACGGTGGAGGAGTTCGTCAAGATGCAGGAATCGCACATCATGAGCGAGAGCGAGCTCCTCCAGGGCAAGAACCTCGAGATCGAGCACGCCGTGGAAGATCTAGTAAAGATCATCGCGGCCTACCAGTTCGACAGCCACGTGGAGCGCGTCTCGGACGACGAGATCTCCAAGCTCAAGAAGCACTACAATCACTTTATGTACCAGGCGCTGCTCCACTGCGCGAAGAATTCGATGAACGCGCTGAAGAAGCGCATCGCAACGCGCGTGGGCACGAACTTTTTGTACGTGACGCGGCCGTTCTTCGAGGTCATGGTCCAGCTCGCTCCGCCCGAGGTCATTTTGCAGCCGTCGCTCGACGACATTCAGGAGTGCATCAACCGCAGCGCCCAGGCCATTTTGCAGTGCTTTAAAACCGTCAAGGATTGGTACGTCGTCGCCGGCGAGCTCCGCGACAAGCCGTCGGCGCCGACGTTTTTCGAGCGCATCACCAAGGACATCGAAATTGTCCGCGTCGCTCTGCTGCTCACGGGCTGCGTCCAGGGCATCCGCAACACGGTGCACGACTACCTCGGCTCCTTCTCCGCCTACGACTGGGTGTGGAAGAAGGACAAGGGCGAGGCCTACCAGGAATTCATCATGGCGAAGCCGAGTCTGGACGACTACGAGGCCCAGCTGAAAAGCTTCGTCAAGGTGGACCAGACGATTGAACAGATCCCGTCTATCCACAACATCGGCGCGCTCTCGCTGAACACGAATTCGCTGAAAACGCAGCTCAAGAGCGAGTGCCAGCATTGGAAGGTCACGTACAGCGACAATTTGCACATCGAGGCGAAGCAGCGATTAGAGGCGCTGTCGGAGTACATCCGGTCCACGTCCGTGAAGCTCGAGAAGACCGTCCGCGACGACGACCTCGACGGCCTGCGCTCCATGATGGACCTCTTCAAACAGGTCCGGGAACGCGAATCTGGCATCGACATGGAGATCGCGCCCATCATGGAAATGCGAGGCGCCGCGTCCTATGGGATTCCGGGCGCGCCTTGAAGGCTCGAATGCGCGCGCCGCCGTACGCCGCGACGCCACCGCGACGGGGAGAGGCGACAGGGACGGCGGACGGGGCATACGACGGGGTCGCGCGCCCCCCCTTGGCCGCTCGAAGGGTCGTCACCGCCGCGCCTCGTAGGTACCACATGCTCGAGCACAACCTGCCGTCGGGCTTCATGGAGAAGTCGGAGATCGACAAGAAGACAGTGCTCCGGTCCGCCTGGCGCAAGCTCGTAGCGACGGCCGCGAAGCGCGCCGAGGAGCTGTCCGTCAAGCAGCACGTCCACAAAAAGCGGCTCAAGAAGGACCGCATGCTCCTCAAGAAAGAGGTCGCCAAGCTACGCGAGGACTGGCTCACGTCCGGCCCCGGCGTGCCCGGCGTCGAGCCCGAGAAGGCCCTGGACCGCCTGCGCTTCTCCAAGGACAAGCTCGCGCAGTGCCAGCGTAAATACGACATGGCCCACGGCGGCGAGGAGTTGTTCGCGCTGCCCTTCACGGACTACCCGGAGCTGCAGCAGACGAAGAAGGACATCTCCCTCTTCGACCAGCTATTTGGCCTCTACACGGACGTCAAGAGCCGCATGGAGGAGTGGAAGCTCTTCCAGTTCACGGAGGTCGTCGCGAACATCGAGGACATGTCGAGCACGATGGACAACTTCGCGCTCCGCTGCAAGAAGATGCCGAGCCGCCTGCGCGGCTTCGACGCCTACAAGCGGCTCCAGACCCAGATCAACGACTTCCAGATCGTCCTGCCGCTCCTGCAGGAGCTGTCGAAGGCGTCGATCATGCCGCGCCACTGGGACGAGGTCAAGGAATTGACGGGCATGGAGTTCGACCAGACGGGCGCCGAGTTCAAGCTGCAAACCGTCGCCGCCGGCGCCTGACACTTTGGCGCGGGGGAGAGCGCTCGGGAGGCCCGCGGCGGCACCGGCGGCGGCCGCTCCGCGGCGGCCCGGCCTGGCGGGATCGCCGTCGTCGGCGGTCCCGCCGATGGCTTCGGGACCGTCGCCCTGGGCGCCGTTGGGCCGCGGCGCGACGAGAGACCTCACGCCTCGCCCGCCCGTGCGACGAGAGACGCGCGCCCGTCCTGAGATCGGCCACGCGCCCGTCCAGAGATCGCCCCCGACGCCCCCGATCCGCGCGTTCACGCCGCCGCGCTCCGCACAGGTGTTAGAGCTCAAGCTCGAAGCCGTCGCCGAGGACGTCATGGAGATCACCGACGGCGCGGATAAGCAGCTGAAGATCGAGAACGACTTGAAGGAGATCGACGGCATCTGGCAGGTCCGCGAGTTCTCTTTCAAGGACTGGAAGACGCGCGCGGTGCCGACGCTCCAGGGCACGGGCCTCCTCATGGAGGAGCTCGAGGAGGCCCAGATGGCGCTCCAGACCATGCTCACGATGCGCCACGTCGCGCCCTTCCGCGAGGAGACCCAGGAGCAGCTCGCGGCGCTCTCGGACGCGTCCGACACGCTCGAGCGCTGGGTCAAGGTCCAGCTCATGTGGTGCTCGCTCGAGTCCGTGTTCACGGGCGGCGACATCGCCAAGCAGCTGCCCATGGAGGCGAAGAAGTTCGGCAAGGTCGACAAGGACTGGGGCAAGCTCATGTCCAAGAGCGAGGAGACGCGCCTCGTCGTCGAGTGCTGCCAGAACGAGATGCTCAAATCGAAGCTGCCCGAGATGTACACGGAGCTGGAGAAATGCCAGAAGTCGCTCGAGGGCTACCTCGAGGCCAAGCGGTCGCGCTTCCCCCGCTTCTACTTCTGCTCGAACTCGAAGCTGCTCATCATCCTGTCGCAGGGCTCGGACCCGACGTCGATGAACGCGCACTACGAGACCGTCCGCGGCCGCGCCTTCGACGCCACTTCAATCGTCGCGAGGAAAGTATCCACGCGTCGAGAGCGCTCGGAGCGACGAGCGCTCGTCCAAAAATGAGCCGAATCGAGTGGAAAATGGCCGAGAAAGGAGCCTCGGAAGTCTGGCCTGGGGTCCGGCACGCGCGCTCCCTGGCCTGGGGTACGGCGCGCGCGCCTTGGCCTGGGGTACGGCGCGCGCGCCTTGGGCGTGCCCTCTCGGGTCTCGTCGAGCGTCCTGAGCGTCCCAGCTCTGAGACCGCCCCGAGGGACGAGTGGGCCTCCCCGAAAGGGCCGCACCGAGCGGAGCCCTGGGCTCTGGGCGCGCGCGTCGCTCGCGGGGCGCGCGTCGCTCGCCGCTCCCGTCGATCGGGCGCGCGTCGCTCGCGGGGCACGCATCACTCGCCGCTCCCCCTCGCCAGGTCTTCGACGCCCTCGAGAAGGTGGACCACGACAAGAAGGACCGCACGATCATCCGGAAGATGCACGGCGCGGGCGGCAAGGGCCACGAGGAGATCATGTTCGTGAAGCCGGTCCCGGCCCAGGGCAACATCGAGGACTGGCTCACGGTGCTCCTGAAATACATGCAGAAGACGATGAAGTACCTCTGCTCCAACGCGGGCACGCACATGGCCGCCGCGGGCACGGAGATCACGACGCTGCGCCACTTCGTCGACGAGGCCAAGGCGCAGTTCGCGCTGCTCGGCATCCAGTTCATGTGGACGACGGACACGCAGAACTCGCTCGAGGAGTGCTCCAAGAAGAAGAACAGCATGAAGGAGTGCAACAGCCGCCAGCTCGACGTGCTCCGCGAGCTGTCGAGCTGGTGCCTCCAGGACCTGGGCTTCAAGGTGAACCGCGGGGCAGCACAAGAGAGCGAAATTCCCAACTTCAAAGGCTCCTTTCTCGGCCGTTTTCCACTCGTTTCGGCTGATTTTTGGACGAGCGATCATCTCTCGGAACGGCCTCGACGCGTGGATGCTTTTGTCGGAACGCGCGCGCGCGGAACACTCACGTTGAGGCGACGTTGAATCACCCTCGTGCTGCCCAGGTGAACCGGAAGAAGATCGAGACGCTCGTGACGATCCACGTGCACCAGAAGGACGTCACGAAGGAGATGTTCGACGGCTTCAAGCGCAAGGAGATCAAGGACGCCAACGACTTCGAGTGGACGAAGCAGGCGCGGTTCTACTGGCGCAACAACGGCTCCGACGAGACGTCGGACGACGGCGCGTGCGTCATCTCCATCACCGACGCGGACTTCACGTACCAGTACGAGTACCTCGGCGCCAAGGAGCGTTTGGTGATCACGCCCCTGACGGACCGCTGCTACATCACGCTCGCCCAGGCCCTGAACATGTGCTTCGGCGGCGCGCCCGCGGGGCCCGCGGGCACGGGCAAGACGGAGACGGTCAAGGACCTCGGCGCGACGCTCGGCATCTTCGTCGTCGTCACGAACTGCGGCGACCAGATGTCCTACAAGGACTGCGCCAAGATCTTCAAGGGCCTCTGCCAGAGCGGCCTCTGGGGCTGCTTCGACGAGTTCAACCGCATCCGCCTGCCCGTGCTGTCCGTCGTCGCGCAGCAGGTCCTGTCGATCCAGAACGCGAAGAAGGCGGGCAGCCTCCTCTTCCAGTTCCCCGGCGACCCGCAGAACGTGAGCCTGAACCGCGCCGTCGGCTACTTCATCACGATGAACCCGGGCTACGCCGGCCGCCAGGCCCTGCCCGAGAACCTCAAGGCGCTCTTCCGCGGCGTGACGATGATGACGCCCGACTTCCAGATCATCATGAAGGTCAAGCTCTGCTCCGTGGGCTACAACGAGTACGAGCTCCTCGCCCAGAAATTCTTCGTGCTCTACGACACGTGCAAGCTCCAGCTCTCGAACCAGAAGCACTACGACTGGGGCCTCCGGAACATTTTATCCGTGCTGCGCACGATGGGCGCGTCGAAGCGCGGCAACATGGACAAGGCCGAGTCCTACCTCGTCTACCAGACGCTCCGCGACATGAACCTGTCCAAGCTCGTCGCCCAGGACGTGCCCCTCTTCCTGTCCATCCTCGCGGACCTCTTCCCGGCCATGTCGGCGCCGCCGAAAGCCGAGTACCCGGACATGGAGGCCGCGCTCATGGAGGAGGTCGAGAAGGCCGGCCTCATCTTCTACGAGGGCCCGGATGGCGCGACCGCGGCGTCCGAGGGGGGCGGACGGCGCGCGCGTCGATCCGACGCGGGGACCCGCTTCCGCGCGCGATTCGAAACCCCCGTCCGCGATTCGAAGCCCGGATCCCCGACCCTCACCCCGTCACTCGTTCAGGCTCCAAGGGCACGCGCGGCGGCTGGGTCGGCAAGGTCATCCAGCTCTACGAGACGACGCGCGTGCGCCACGGCATCATGCTCGTCGGCCCGACGGGCGGCGGCAAGACGCGCATCTTCGCGCTCCTCCGCGGCGTGCTCACGAAGATCACGGGCACGACGCACAAGGACTCGCGCTTCAACCCCAAGGCGATCCGCGCCCAGGAGATGTACGGCGAGATGGACCCGCTCTCCGGCGAGTGGACCACGGGCGTCTACGCGGCCATGTGGGCCAAGTACAACAACCGCGCGAACCCGTACAACACGTGGATCATCGCCGACGGCCCCGTCGACGCGATCTGGATCGAGGACCTGAACACGGTGCTCGACGACAACCGCATCTTGACGCTGGCCAACGGCGACCGCATGCCCATGACGGACAACGTGAAGATGATGTTCGAGGTCGAGACGCTCGTCAACGCGTCGCCGGCGACGGTGTCGCGCGCGGGCATCATCTACATCGCCGACGTCGAGCTCGACTGGGAGGCCGTCTACCGCGCCTGGGTCCTCACGCGGCCGTCGGACCACCAGACGATTTTGTACGACCTGGCGGAGAAGTGGCTCGGCAAGTGCACGCCCATCGACCCGGGCGTCGCGTTCTCGTTCATCACGCGCAACTGCGTGTCCACGCTCCAGGCGGGGCGCATCACCGTCATCCAATCCTTGCTCACGCTCATCACGGGGTTGTGCGACGGCGAGACGATCAAATTGCACATGGCCGGCAGCCTCGAGACGGGCCTCGAGCGCGTCTTCCTGTACGCGTTCTGCTGGTCCTTCGGCGCGCTCTTCGAGGCCGAGGACCGCAACAAGCTCGACGTCTGGCTCCGGGAGAAGGACGAGAGCTTCCTGCCGCCGACGGGCAGCGCCTTCGACTTCTGCATCGACGAGAAGACGTGCGACTGGGCGCCGTGGTCCGCGCCCGCGTGGCACTACCCCAAGGGCGACACGCTGGATTTCGCGTCCATCCTGGTGCCCACGGTCGACTCGACGCGCACGTCCTACCTCATCAAGCAGGTGCACAAGCAGAAGAAGGCGACGTTGATTGTGGGCTCCGAGGGCACGGCGAAGACGGCGACGGTGCGCATGTTCCTCGCGTCCTTGGACATGCTCACGCGGACGTGCAACTACTCTTTTGCTACAAAACCCTTCGGCGCGCAGAACGCCGTCGAGTCGGAGCTCGACAAGCGCGGCGGCAAGAACTTTGGGCCGCCGAACTCGCAGAAGATGACGTTCTTCATCGACGACATGTCGATGCCCGAGGTCAACAACTGGGGCGACCAGCCGACGCTCGAGCTCATGCGCCAGCTCATCGAGTACAACGGCTTCTGCTTCCTGGACAAGGACAAGCGCGGCGACTTCAAGACCTGCGAGGACCTCATGTACATCGCGGGCATGGGCCACCCCGGCGGCGGCCGCAACGACATCCCGAACCGCCTCAAGCGCCAGTTCTACTGCATCAACCTCACGCCGCCGTCGATCAACTCCATCAACGACATCTACGGCCAGATGCTCAGCGGCCGCTTCCCGTCCGCGACGACGGACGCGGCGCTCGGCTCCGTCGTCCAGCTCCTCACGCAGGCGACGATCGGCCTGTGGAAGTTGATGCAGACGAAGATGCTGCCGACGCCGGCGAAGTTCCACTACGTCTTCAACATGCGCGACCTGAGCCGCGTCTTCCAGGGCGTGCTCATGACGCCCTACGAGTCGATCAAGACGGGCGGCACGCGGGGCAAGGAGGGCACGTGGCGCCACAGCCCGCCGGCCTGCCTCCTGGCCATCTGGAAGCACGAGTGCTTCCGCGTCTTCCAGGACAAGCTGACGAACAACAAGGACAAGGAGTTCTGCCTCAAGGCCATCGTCGACCAGTGCGAGACCATCTTCGGGTCCGAGGTCGTCTCGGACCTGCCCGAGGACCTCTTCATGGTCAACTTCCTCCAGGAGGACGTCTACGACGAGGACGGCGTCATGCAGGAGGAGGCGCCCAAGGTCTACGAGCCGGGCGGCAGCCTCGCCCAGATCCGCGACCGCGTCCAGATGTTCCTGGACAAGTACAACGAGGACTACCCGTCGCGGAAGATGGAGCTCGTGCTCTTCGACGACGCGCTCAAGCACCTCCTGCGCCTCAACCGCCTCATGGAGATGCCCCGGGGCAGCGGGTTGCTCGTGGGCGTCGGCGGCTCGGGCAAGCAGTCGCTCACGCGCCTCAGCGCGCACATCTCGCGCGCGTCGTGCTTCCAGATCACGCTCACGAAGACGTACAACCAGGCGTCGCTCATCGAGGACCTGCGGACGCTCTACCGCAGCGCCGGCGCCTGCAAGCAGACCGTCTTCCTGTTTACGGAGTCGGAGATCAAGTCGGAGACGTTCCTGGAGCTGCTGAACAGCGTGCTCATGACGGGCGAGGTGCCGGGCCTCTTCGCCAAGGACGAGATGATGGCCATGACGGCGGACCTCCGCGGCTCCTTCCTCAAGAACCGCGCGGGCCTCGAGGACACGCAGGACAACCTGAAGCAGTACTTCACGGACTGCGTCCGCGACAACCTCCACCTGATGCTGTGCATGTCGCCCCTGAACCCCAAGTTCCCGGAGCGCGCGCGCCGGTTCCCGGGCATCATCTCGTCGCCGACGATCGACTGGTTCCTCGCCTGGCCCGAGGAGGCGTTGGTGGCCGTCTCCCGCGGCTTCATCGGCAACTTCGAGATGTCGTGCTCGTCGGAGATCAAGGACAACCTCATGACGCACATGGGCATGGTCCACAACTGTGTGGAAATCAACCACTGGTTTGGGTGGTCCTGACCAAACTTCAGAATTCTCTCGCTCGGTCAAATCGAAGTCGATTCGGCTGATTTTTGGACGAATCGATTGCTCTCATCGAGTTCTCGAAGCACAGCGAAAGAATCTGGTCCAAATCGTTCGATTACGCGCACATTGAAGTCGGGTTAAAGATTTGAATTCCACACAGGTCCACAAACTCACGACGGACGTCTGCTCGGAGTACTTCGAGAAGCTGCGGCGCGCGGTCTACCAGACGCCCAAGTCCTACCTGTCGTTCATCCAGTCCTACACGAAGATGTACAAGCTCAAGCTCGCCGAGCTCGAGGACAAGGAGGGCCGCGTGAAGCTTGGCCTCGAGAAGCTCAAGCAGGGCGCGCGCGACGTCGAGGACATGAAGGGCGTCCTCGCGGAGGAGGACAAGAAGCTCGCCGTGGCTACCGAGGAGACGAACAAGATGCTCGAGGGCCTGCAGATCTCCAGCGCCGAGGCGCAGCGCGAGGGCGACAAGGTCGCCAAGGACAAGGCCGCGTGCGAGGCCGACGCGGCGCGCATCGGCGAGGAGAAGGCCGCCGCGGAGGCGGACCTCGCCAAGGCCCAGCCCTTCGTGGACCGCGCGAACAAGGCCATCGAGTCCATCAAGCCCAAGGACATCCAGGAGATCAAGGCGAACAAGAACCCGACGGACATCATCAAGATGATCTTCGACTGCATCCTGATTTTATTCAAGCAGCCCCTGGACACGGTCAAGCCGACGACGCTCAGCGTCAAGAAGGAGGACCTCGCCTACTTCGAGACGTCGTTCAAGTTCAGCGGCCAGAAGATGCTCGGCGGCACGACGTTCCTCGCGGACCTGCAGGAGTTCGGCAAGACGGGCAAGGACCTCATGAACGAGGAGACCGTCGAGTTCCTCTTCCCCTACGTCGACCTGAGCCTCGAGCAGAACGGCGCCTACTTCACGCCCGAGGTCGCGAAGAAGGCGTCGTCCGCGGCGGAGGGTTTGTGCATCTTCGCCGCGGCGATGAAGGACTACTTCTACGCGTCGCGCGTCGTCAAGCCCAAGCTCGAGGCGCTGGGCATCGCCGAGGCGAATTTGAACGAGGCCGCGGCGAAGCTGCGCCAGGCCGAGGCGCGGCTGAAGACGTGCCAGGACAAGCTCGACGAGCTCCAGGCCATGTTCGAGAGGCAGACCGCGGAGAAGAAGCTCATCGAGGACAACGCCGCGGCGCTGCAGAAGAAGATGAGCCAGGCGTCCGAGCTCATCGGCGGCCTCTCCGGCGAGCAGAAGCGCTGGACCGACGACGCGAACGAGTTCGCGGAGATCAAGCTCCGCCTCGTCGGCGACTGCGCGATCGCGTGCGCGTTCGTGTCCTACTGCGGCCCCTTCAACCAGGACTACCGGTCCTACATGCTCGAGGACAAGTACAGCAACGACTGCGAGACGCGCGGCGTGCCCGTGTCGCAGAACCTGAACGTCATCGACTTCCTCGCGGACATCGGCACGATCGGCGACTGGAACCAGGAGGGCCTGCCGACGGACCCGCTGTCCATCCAGAACGGCATTTTAGTGACGCGGTCGTCGCGCTTCCCGCTCCTCATCGACCCCCAGGGCCAGGCCGTGGGCTGGATCTGCGAGCGCGAGAAGGACCGCGTGCCGCCGACGGCGCCGACGGTGCAGCTCACGGACCCCAAGCTCAAGGACAAGCTCGAGTTCGCGTTGCAGGAGGGCAAGGCCTTCATCGTGTTAGGCGTCGAGCAGGACATCGACCCCATGCTCGACCCCGTCCTCGAGAAGACGTACGTGCAGAAGGGCCGCCGCTACGTCATCACCATCTCCGACAAGCAGATGGACTACGACATGAACTTCATGGCCTACTTCATCACGCGCCTGCCGAACCCGTCCTTCTCGCCCGAGCTCCAGGCGAAGACGACGGTCGTCGACTTCACGGTGACGCAGAAGGGCCTCGAGGAGCAGCTCCTCGGCAAGGTCATCGGCAAGGAGCAGCGCGCGCTCGAGGACCAGCTGTCCCTCGTGCTCCAGGAGGTGAACAGCAACACGAAGTCGCTCCTCGCGCTCGACGCGTCGCTCCTCGAGCGCCTCACGTCGAACACGGGCAATTTGTTGGAGGACGAGGAGCTCATCGACGTGCTCGCGTCGACCAAGGCCAAGGCCCAGGAGGTGTCCCAGAAGCTCATCGCCGCCGACGAGACCAAGGCGTCCATCAACGAGAAGCGCGAGCAGTTCCGGCCCGTCGCGACGCGCGGCTCCGTGCTCTACTTTGCGATCGTCGAGATGTCGGCCGTGAACCCCATGTACCAGACGTCGCTCACGCAGTTCCTGGAGCTGTTCATGGCGTCCATGGAGAAGAGCGAGCGCGCGTCCCTCGCGTCGAAGCGCGTCGAGAACATCATCGAGGCCATGACCTACATCACGTACCGCTACATCAACCGGGGCCTCTACGAGGCGGACAAGCTCACGTTCGTGCTCATCTGCACGCTCAAGATTTTGGTGACGGCGGGCATGCTCAAGTCGTCGGACGTCATGCTCTTCCTGCGCGGCGGCGCCGCGCTCGACATCAACAGCGTGAAGCGGAAGCCGTTCTCGTGGCTCACGAACGACGCCTGGCTCAACGTCCTCGAGCTCTCGTCGTCCCTGAAATTCTTCTCGAACATGCCCAGCGACATGTCGGCCAACGAGGCCATCTGGCGCCGCTGGTACGAGGACAACGAGCCCGAGCAGATGGCCGTGCCCGACTACGAGACGAAGATCGCGGAGAACCTGGAGATCGGCCCGTTCCTGCGGCTGCTCGTGCTCCGGTCGCTGCGCATGGACCGCTGCATCCTGCAGACGAAGGAGTTCATCCGCTCGACGCCGCAGATGGGCCCGCGCTACGTCGAGCCCGTGACGGACACGGCGGACGCGATCTACGCGGAGATGATCTCCACCGTGCCCGTCATCTTCCTCTTGTCCGCCGGCGCGGACCCGACGGACTCCATCGAGCTGCTCGCGCGCAAGCGCAAGCTCCCGCCGCCGGCGGTCATCTCGCTCGGCGAGGGCCAGGAGCCCGTGGCCATCAAGGCCATCAACACGGCGTCCGCGGAGGGCACGTGGGTCCTGCTCCAGAACTGCGAGCTCGCGCTCGAACTGATGACGGAGATGGAGCAGCTGCTGATGAAGCTCCCGACCGTGGACCCGGGCTTCCGCCTCTTCATCACGTGCCTGCCCCACAAGGACTTCCCCCTGGGTCTGCTGCAGATGTGCACGAAGGTCACGAACGAGCCGCCCGCGGGCCTCAAGGCGGGCCTCCTCCGGTCCTACACGGTCATCGTCGACCAGGAGCGCCTCGAGCGCGTCGAGACGGAGCAGTGGCGCCAGCTCCTCTTCGCGCTCTGCTTCCTCCACTCCATCGTCCAGGAGCGGCGCAAGTTCGGGCCGCTGGGCTGGGGCGTGCCCTACGAGTACAACACGGGCGACGTCACCGCGTGCATCCTCTTCCTCGAGCGCCACCTCTACAACGGCCCCATCTCCTGGTCGACGCTCCAGTACATGGTCGCCGAGGTCCAGTACGGCGGCAAGATCACGGACTCCGTGGACCGGCGCCTCTTCAACACGTACGCGCAGGTCTGGCTCACGGCGGGCACGTGCGCGGAGGGCTACACCTTCAACCCCAAGGACACGATCCAGCACATCGCCAACGACTTCGTCTATCTGATCCCGAAGGCGACGGAGATCGCGCCCTACCGCGCGTTCGTCGAGTCGTTCCCGGAGATCGACTCGCCCGAGGTCTTCGGGTTGCACCCGAACGCGGAGCTCACCTTCCGCATCAAGCTGTGTGGAAATCAAATCTTCAACCCGACTTCAATGTGCGCGTAACCGAACGATTTGGACCAGACTCTTTCGCTGTGCTTCGAGAACTCGACGAGAGCGATCGATTCGTCCAAAAATCAGCCGAATCGACTTCGATTTGATTGAGATAGAGCGTTCTGAAGTTTGGTGGGGACCCCCCAAACCAGTGGTTGATTTCCACACAGGCATCAAGGAGGTCAACGAGCTCATCACGACGCTGGCGGAGACGCAGCCCAAGGGCGGCGGCGGCGGCGGCGGCGGCGAGTCGCGCGAGGACATCGTGCAGCACAAGGCGCGGGAGCTGCTCGACCGGCTGCCCGCGGACTACGTCGAGGACGACTACAAGGCGAAGATCAACAAGCTCGGCGGGCTGTCGGTGCCGCTGAACATCTTCCTCTTCCAGGAGATCCAGCGCCTCCAGAACGTCATCGCCAAGGTGCGCTTCCAGCTCACGCAGCTCCAGCTCGCGATCAAGGGCGAGGTCGTGATGACGGGCGAGCTCCAGGAGGCGCTCGACAAGATCGCCGACGCGTCCGCGCCCCGGACCTGGATCTACACGGTCACGGGCGACGAGTTCTCCTGGATCCTCCCGACGCTCGGCCTCTGGTTCTCGTCGCTCATGGCGCGCGACGACCAGTCGCGGACGTGGCTCAACAGCGGCCGGCCGCCCTGCTACTGGCTCACGGGCTTCTTCAACCCGACGGGCTTCCTCACGGCCATGAAGCAGGAGGTGACGCGCAAGCACAAGAGCGACAAGTGGGCCCTCGACGACGTCGTCTACCGCACCGAGGTCACGCAGCTCGAGCGCGTCGAGCAGGTCCGGAGCCAGCCGCCCGAGGGCGTCTACCTCCACGGCATGTTCCTCGACGGCGCCGCCTTCGACAAGAAGGAGAGCCTCCTCGTCGAATCGGAGCCCAAGAAGCTCTTCGTCTCGCTCCCGATCCTCTTCGTCTCCGGCCTCATCAAGGACGAGTCCTACAAGCGCCGCAAGGAGCTCTTCGGCGCCCACGGGCCCTACGAGTGCCCCGTCTACAAGTACCGGCCCCGCACGGACCGCTTCTTCATCTTCTTCGTCACGCTCAAGTGCACCACCGAGAAGAACGCGAAGCACTGGACGCTCCGCGGCACCGCGCTCCTCACGACGGACTCCGCGTCGTCCTAGACCGGCGGGGGGTTCGAAAGCTAGCCTAGGTCGTAAGCGTCTCTTTGTTTTGCGGTAGCGGTAGCGGTAGCGGGTGTTGTCTGGGGCTCTAGTCGTGGCGGCCTGGGACCCGTCCACCCGGGCCCGTAAGATTTTGAGCGATTTTGCTTAGCCGCGGCGCAGGGAAGGACCGAAGGGGGAGAGAACACGAAGGGGGGCGTAGGGAAGCGTCACGGGAGGACACGACTAGGGCGGAGGCGTACGCGAGCACGGCGACGAAGAGGGCACGACGACGTAGGGCGGCTACTGCTCGTAGGCGACGCCGAAGGTCCCGCCGGTGCCGCGGGCCGCGCGGGCGATTTTGCCATTTCGATCGGGTCCCGATTGTGGCACCCCCCCCCCGGTCGCAAGGACGCGCCGAGTCATGTCGTGGCGGGAGAAGAAGTTGGAGTATGAGAATCGCATGGCCCGCGCGAAGGGCAAGAAACTCGACACTCTCAGGACCTGTACGATCTGCGGCGCCGACAAGGCCAAGGCCTGCCTAGGGTGCGGCACGACGGCCTACTGTTCGACGGACTGCCAACGCATCGACTGGCGCGACCGGGGCCACCGGAAGGTCTGCAAGAAGATCCAGGCCGCGGAGGCGGCGAGGGCGGAAGCGCCGACGCCCCCGCCGTCGCCGCCGCGGGACGTGTTCTACGGCCCCGCGCCGCGGTCGCACGCCGACGAGGTCCGCGCGCGCATCGCCGCCGAACACGAAGCCGCCCGGGCGCGGCGCGAGGCGAACCCGGAGCGGGAGCCGCTGTCTGCGCGGTACGGGTCGCGGTGCCCGATCTGCCTCGAGGAGTGGGACGTGAATGCGACGCCCGTGTTTCGCGTCTGTTGCTGCCGAAAGATCTGCCAATCGTGCCAGGACAGGGTCGGCATCGGCGCGTGTCCCCTCTGTCGCTTACCGCACGAGAAGACCAATGCGGAAAGACTCGCGCGTCTTCGCCGCCATGTGGAAAACGAGGTGCCGGAAGCGATTACGACTTTGGGAGACGCGTACCGCCGCGGTCTGATGGGGGTGGTGAAATCCGATAAGAAAGCTGCGAAGATTTACCGGCGCGCCGTGGAGCTCGGGGACGTGATGGCGATGAATAACCTTGGGTCATTGTACGAGAATGGGAGTGGCATCAAACTGGACAAGAAGAAGGCGGAGCGGCTGTATCGTGCGGCCGCAGATCGGGGCGAAGCCTTCGCGCAATTCAATTTAGCGATGTTACTTGATGCTGAGAAGAGATTTGAAGAAGCGTTCCGGTACTACGCGCTCGCGGCGGATCAAGGCCGTACCGCTGGAGAGTTCAACCTTGGCTGCTGTTACAGGGACGGAGAAGGCACGGAATTCGACCCCGGCAAAGCCAGATACTGGTTCGAGCGCGCCGCTGCCAAGGGCGACGGGGATGCTATACGGGCCCTCGCGGACCTCGACGCGCGAGGAGAAAGATACTGGTTCGAGCAGGCCTTTAAGCGCGCCGCTGCCAAGGGCGACGAGGAAGCTATAAAGGGCCTCGCAGACCTCGGCTACGAGCACGCTATAGAGTGCCTCGCGCTCCTCGACGCGCGAGTATAATAGCCTAAACAATCTTTACGCCGCGTCGTCGCCCGAGCCCGAGATGCTTCGCTCGCGCTATAGTTTAGTACCTAGCCTGTCTCACTAGAACGCACCCCGCGCCGCAGCCGGAGCCCGAAGGTCGCGAGGCGGACGCCCTGGAACGCGAACATGCAGCACCACGCGGCGCCGAGGCCCAGGCCGAGGCGCTCCACCGCGGCGAACGCGGCGACCATGGCGGCCGCGTTGGAGGCGTAGAAGGCCGAGAGGAAGGACAGCTGGCGCGTCGCGAGGAGCGCGCCCTCCAAGGCGCACATGGGCGCGAGGCACGCGACGCAAAGCGCCGCGGGCCCCGCGAGCACGCGGAGCCGCGATACGACCGCGGCGTCGGCCGTGAAGAGGCCCGGAGCGTAAAGTAGAACCGCCGCGCTCGCCGCCGCGCAGGCGCCGCCGACGACGGCGCCGCCGGCCAGCAGGCGCCGCACGAGCGGCCACTCGCCGCGCCGCTCGCCGGGCAGGAACGCCTGGCCGACCTGCGAGAAGACCTCGCCGAAGGGCCTACGCGGCGGCGCGGTGAAACGTCAATTCGAGAAAGATGGGACGCCGGAGCACGCGCCAGAAGAACCAGTAGACGCACATGAGCACGCGGTGCGCCGCCGTCGACGCGACTCCCGCCGCCGTCGCCACGTGCGCGAGCGACGAGTAGGTCGCGATCTTGCCCGCCAGCGTCACGAGCAGGGGCTTCGCGAAGACGGCGAACTGCGCGACGTCGGCGCGCGACGGCAGCAACCGTCGCGCGGCGCCGCCGGGCAGCCGCGAGCGCCGGAGCAGGAAACACGCGCACGCGGCCTCGCTGGCGACCGTCGCCCAGGCGGCGCCGGCGACGCCGAAGGCGGGCACGCAGAGCAGGTCGCCCGCGAGGTTCAGGAAGCCCGCGCCGGCGACCGCGACGAGCGGCGTCGCCGCGTCCTTCGCCGCCAAGCGACTCGCGATCGACACCTTGATGAGCAGCGCGAACGGCGCGCCGCAGGCCCGCGCGCGGACGTACTCGTAGGCCGGCTGGACGACGGCCGCGCTCTCGGCCGCCGTGTACCTGGCGAGCACCCAGCGGCCGCCCGCGATCTGGGCCGCGGCGCTCGCGAGGCCGCAGAGCACGGCCAGTCGCACGGCCGTGCCGAAGATGGGCGCGGGGTCGTCGTCTTCCGCGCGCGCCGTCGCGATCATGTTCGTCGTCGCGACGGAGAGGAAGGAGCAAAAGTAGGCCAGCGAGTCGCCGACCATCGTGCCGGGGCCGAGCGCCGCGAGCTCTAAAGCCGTGGCGGAGCGGCCGACGACGGCCGTGTCGACGAGCGACATCAGCGGGCTCACGAGCCAGGCGCCGAGCGTCGGCAGCGCGAAGCGCGCGAGCGTCGCCGTGGACGGCGGTTGGGCATCGGTCGTGATGGCTGCGTTCGTCGCGAGCAGTCGTGCGCGGCTGCGCCGGCATGGTGCTTGCAGCGCGCGGCTGCGCAGGCATCGCGATGGCGACTGCAGCGCCACGCTACAGCCGAGCACGCCGAGCACGAGCGCTGTTTTTGCGATTCGAGCGCAGCCCATAGCAGAGCTCTGCTTCAGCACTGACCACAACAGGCGCATTGCAGTCGACGAAAAGCAGATGGGCAGCCTCTTCTCGCGCCAATCGCAGCTCAGCATGGATTCGCGCATGCCGCTGGGCGACGGCACGAGCATGCCCGTCATCGGCTTCGGCACGTACCAGGTCAAGAACGAGGACGTCGGCGCCTGCGTGACGCTCGCCCTCGACAACCAGTACCCCCACATCGACACGGCGGAGGGCTACGACAACGAAGCGGGCGTCGGCGCGGCGCTGGCGGGGAAGCCTCCGATCTACATCACCACAAAATTGTGGCCCGGCAACCCGGACTGGGGCCAGACGCCCAAGACCTACGAGACGACCGTGGCCGCGTGCAAAGCCTCGAAGGAGAAGCTCGGCGCGACGCCGGACCTCTACCTCATCCACGGACCGTTCAGCGGCGGCCCCGAGACGCGGCTCGCGCAGTGGCGCGCGTGCGTCGACTGCAAGAAGGAGGGCGTCGTCAAGAGCATCGGCGTCTCGAACTTCGGCGTCCGCCACCTCGAGGAGCTCGAGGCCGCGGGGCTCGAGCGGCCCGCGGCGAACCAGCTGGAGATCCATCCCTACTGCCAGCAGCCGGAACTTCTGGCCTACATGAAACGCAAAAACATCGCGTGCATCGCCTACTCTTCGTTGATGCCGCTCGCGAACTGGCGGGAAGGCATGCAGTCCGCGAAGGCCGACCGCACGGAGGACCCGGTCATCGCCGCGGCCGCGGCGAAGCTCGGCGTGAGCCAGGCGCAGGTGCTGCTGCGGTGGGCGCTCCAGAAGGGCTACGCGATCCTGCCCAAGTCGACGTCCGAAGCCCGCGTCAAGGCCAACTGCGACCTCTTCGGCTTCAGTATCGACGACGCCACCATGGCCGCGCTCGACGGCCTCAACAAAAACGAGCCGCGGGCCTTTGGGAAGCCCGGGAGTCCGTATGACCCGACAGCGGCGCCGTAAGACGGGTCAATCGCGCGTCGGGTGGTTGGCCGGGGATCGGTTTTCAAACGAGGCTCGAGCGCTCTCCGATGGCGGCGCAAGTCGAGACCATGAGCGACGCGCCCGCGCCCGCGCTCAAGCGTATGACGACGACGTACGATAAGGCGTCGACCCAGCGCTTCCTCGTGGCGAACGGGTCAAAAAGCTACGTGCAGCAGTGACAGCCCAGCGTCCTGTGGCCGGGACGATTCTCGAGTGATTTGGGGACTTTTTTGGGTGGAACGCGCGCGCGCAAACGGAATGAGAACGCCGTGCTTTTTAGGTTTAGCCACCTCTACAACAAGCGCTCCCTAGCCCTCAAGGGCGACGTCGCCGCCGCGGCGCGCCGGAAGTGGCCCGGCGTCAGCGTCGTCGAGCGCGTCGTCGACGCGGCGGGCCTCGACGAGGGCGCGGAGATCGCCATCGTCGGCACGGCCTTCAAGGAGATGGCGAAGCGGCCCGACGTGCTCGCCGAGTACCAGGACCTCTTCGCCGCGGCGGAGGCCGCGGACGCCGCGGCCGACGCCGCGGAGTCGTACGCGTCGGCCGACGACGCCATCGTCCTCGAGGACGAGTCCGGCCGCGTGAAGATCGTCGGCGCCGCGAGCCCGCTGCCCGCGGCGACGATGGCGACCGGCCTCATCGTCGCGGTCCGCGGCCGCGTCACGGGCGACGGCGAGCTCGAGGCCGCGGACTACTGCGGCTGCGGCTACGCGCCGCCGCGCGACGCGCCGGCGCCCATGGACGACGCCGACGAGAGCCCCCTCGTGCTCCTGCTCGCGGGCCCCTGCGCCGCGGACGTCCGCGACGAGACCGCCGCGGCGGGCCGCTTCGCGCTGCTGACGGAGTGGCTCAGCGGCGCGCTCGGCGACGCGGGCGTCGCGCGGCGCGTCGCGCGCGTCGTCGTCGCCGGCGACGTCGTCTGCATGGACCCGTCCGAGGCCGCGGCCAAGGCCCGGACGGCGCGCGCGCTGACGCCGCCGAACGGCTCGTCGAAGGGCGGCGCCAAGGACGCGGCGTCCGAGGCCGCGCTCGCGCCCGTGCGCGTCGCCGACGTCATGCTCGCGCGCCTCGCGGCGCTCGCGCCCACGGACGCGATGCCGGGGCCCGCGGACCCGACGTCGTTCACCATGCCCCAGCAGCCGCTCCACCCGCTGCTCCTGCCGACGGCGAACCGCTACGGCGACACGTTCGTCGCCGCGCCGAACCCCCACGAGTGCGAGGTCGGCGGCAAGCTGTTCCTGGGCCACAGCGGCCAGCCCGTGCAGGACATGCTCAAGCACGCGGACTACGCGGCGTCGGCGGCGGACCGCGGCGCGACGCGGGCGTTCAACGACGGCGCGTCGTGCGTCGACCGCCACGTCGACGGCGACGACGACGCCTACCTCGCCTGCCTCGAGGACACGCTCTGGTGGCGCGTGCTCGCGCCGACGGCGCCGGACACGCTCCCGTCCTACCCGTTCCAGGACGCGGACCCCTTCGTCATCGACGACGCGCCCGACGTCCTCTTCGCGGGGTCCGCGCCGGCCTTCGCGACGTCGGCGGCCGTCCGGCCCGACGGGTCCCGCGCCGCGCGCGTCGTCGCCCTGCCGTCCTTCGCGACGACGGGCGTCTGCTGCCTCCTCGACCTCGCGACGCTCGACGTCGAGCGCCTCGAGTTCGCGCCGCCCGCGGACGCCACGCCGCCCGCGACGGCCTCGGCCTAACAAGTAAGCTTCTTATCGTCCGGAAGATGTAGTCGTGTCCAGGCTCTGGCTTCCGCCGGGTTGTCGCCGGGTGACGGCGCGTGTTTGTGTCCAGATTCGAGATTCGCCGCGGGGTTCCGGCTCGTGTGTGGGGCTCTCGCCGGGTGACGGCCGCGGGTCGCTTCGGGGTGGCGTGGAGCTGCCCGGACGAGTCCCCGGAAGCAGCGACGTGCTACGCACCACGCGTCGTAGCGCCGCGAGGCGGTCGAAGATACAGGCCGGTCGTGCCGGTGCACCACTCGCGGATGAAGTTTGCCGATACCGTGGCCCTCGTCGCACGGCATCTCCGGCGCAGCTCGCTCGAGCAGCAAGGCTAATAGAGTCTGGGCCTCCCCGCCACCTCGGGGGGACGCGCGCGACCCCAGGAACAAGCATCACCACCAGTCGTTGCAGCAAAAGAGCCACGCGAAGGTCCGGGGCGCCGCATCGATCGATTTCCGCCGAAGCCTGCGCCTGAGGCCATAGCCCGCGCCGCCCGGCGGACCATGCTCAACTCCAATGGCGTCTATACGGAGCTGTACGACCCCCGGCGTCCGCGCGCCCCGCCGCCCCGCACCCCCGCGCCCGCAGGCACGACCTCCCGTTCAACATCATGTGGGGGCGCCTGAAGCAGGTCGGCTGGTCCTGGAAGCCCGGCAGCGGCCTCGCGCCCTACACCTACTTCCGGCCCGGGGCGAAGACGTCCGTGCGCCAGGGCGCCATCGAGGGCCGCGACTTCTTCTGCAGCGAGGGCGACGTCGTGGCGTTCGTCAAGTCGCGGCGCGTGAACGGCCGCGAGGGCCGCGTCGGCGCGATCGGCGAGGACACGCGGGGCCGCGCGGCCGAGGACGACGAGCACCTCGCGACGCACGTCGCGACGCGCCGCGTCTACCGCCTCACGCTCGGCGGCCTCTTCGACCGGTGGCACGTGCGCTCGGCCGCGTCCGAGAGCAGCGACATCGTCGCGTCGCTCCTCGAGGGCGACGCGATCGTCGTGCCCGCGCCGCCCGAGGGCGCGGGCGCGCCCCCGGGCGCCTGGCTGCCCGTCGCCGCCGTCATCCGCGCGAGCGGCGACGAGGAGATTTTGACGCGCGCGGGCTACTCGGTGCTCCACTCGCGCGACGGCGCGAAGCAGCTCTACGAGGACGGCGAGCCGCGGCCGTCCGTCTGCGTCGCGCCGGACCTCGAGGCGCGCCTCGTCGCGGCGCTGCGGGCCTGGGGCGACGCGAAGCGCCTGCCCGGCCGCGCGCACGCGCCCGCGGTCGCGGGCCGCAGGGCCGACGTCGACGCGCTCCGCCGCGAGCTCGGGCTCTGCGGCTTCGACGCGTCGCGCGCGGACGCCTACGTCGCGGCCCTGCAGCTCACCGTGGACCGCGCCGACGCGGCGGACCGGCCCGCGACGCCCGAGCCGGGCGCGCCGGCCGCGCGGAAGGCCGCCGGCGAGGAGCCGAGCAGCACAAGAGCGCGAAATTCCCAACTTCAAAGGCTCCGATCTCGGCCGTTTTCCACTCGTTTCGGCTGATTTTTGGACGAGCGATCATCTCTCGGAACGGCCTCGAAGCGTGGATGCTTTTCTCGGAACGCGCGCGCGCGGAACACTCACGTTGAAGCGACGTTGAATCACCCTCGCGCTGCCCAGGCGAGGAGCCGAGCTCGTACGTCCACGCGACGTTCGCGAACCCGCGCGCGCGGTCCTGCTGGCTCTCCTGCGCGTTCCAGGTCCTCTGGCACTCGCGGAGCTGGCACACGTGCTTCGAGGCCGCCGTCGAGGCCGGCGTGCTCGACGGGCCGGCCGCGAGCTGGCGCGCGGAGGCGCCGGGCGCGAAGAAGATCGACGCGCTCGTCGCGACGTGGCGCGACTACCGCGCGACGCTGCGGGCCCACGGCGCCGCCGACGCCGACGACGACGGCGACGAGCCGGCGGCGAAGAAGGCGCGGTCCGACGACCGGTCGCCGTCGCCGAGCCCCGGCGGCGGCGCCGTCGACGCCGTGTCGCCCGAGCACCTCGCGGAGGCCTTCGCCTCCGAGGCGGACAAGCACGGCTACGGCGACGCCGCCGAGGCGCTGAGCGCCGTCCAGGCGGCGTTGGACCACCCGTCGATGCCGCCCGCGGCGCGCGCGCTCGCGGACATCTACCGCATCGCGCCCGTGCCCTTCGAGGGCGACCTCCTCGACGCCGGCGACGTGCGGCGCCTCCTGCGCGACGCCCTCGAGGCGCCGTCGGCGGCGGCGGCCGACGCGTCGCCGCGCGTCCGGGGCCGCGCGGAGCCCGCGCGGCCGCGCCGCGCCGCCGCGGCCAAGAACCTCGCGGCGCCGCCGCCCGCCGCGACGCCGGCCGCGCCGGCGAGCCCGCGGCCGAGCGGTCGCCGCGGCGCCGCCGTCATCGCCCTGGACCTGGCCTGGCCGCGGACCCTTCGACGGCGCGTCCATCTAGGCGCTCGTGCTCGAGTTCGCTCCGGACGACGCGGAGCCCATCTAGCTCTACGCGTGCGTCTGCTACTGCCACCGCCTCCAGCACTACGTCGCCGGACCACAGCAAATTCCTCTTCTTCAACGCCTGCCGGGCGTCCTCGCGCCGCGCGCGCGGCGGTCGAAGAAGGGCGACGAGCCCGCGGCGGACGCGCCGACGGCCGCGGTGACCTGGGCCGACGCGGCCAAGGCCTGCGGCGCGGCCCATCTCCAGCCGCGCCTCGTCCTCTACGAGGACCACACGCACCCCAGCGTGCAGCGCGCGCTCACCGCCGTCGAGACCGCGAAGCCCAAGTAGGCGCGGGCTAAAAACGACCCCCCGCCACCAAAGTCGCCCGCGCCCTTACGCTCAGGGCTTCTCCTTGGGGTAGTAGTTGAAGCCGTAGTAGAGGACGTAGAAGAAGAGGGGCACGCAGACGCCGTAGAGGGGCAGGTAGAGGAGCTGGAAGAGGTGGTCCGTGAGCTCCGCGGGCGACAGGCTCCGCATGCTGAACTTGAAGTCCTCGTGGGGCTGGACGTGCTCCCAGTCCGTGACGATCATGAACATGAGCCGCTGGTACTCCTCGTAGTCGAGTTGGCGGTCGCCGTCCTTGTCGACGCGCGCGATGAGCTCCATGGTCTGCGCGCGCGACACGTAGTGGCCGAAGTAGCGCATCGCGTACTGGATCTCGCCCGGGTCGAGCTGGCCGTCCTTGGAGTGGTCCAGCGTGTTGAAGAGGTGCTTCAGGATGCGGTCGGCCATCGTCTTCTCGTTGCCGTTCGCGAAGTCCTCCTCGACCTCCTCGAGGCGCGCGTCCTTGAGCGTCTCGAGCACCGACGACTTGCGCTTCAGCGACACGCGCTCCTGGGCAGGAAAAGGGTGCGAAATTCCCAACTTCAAAGGCTCCTATCTCGGTCGATTTCCACTCGTTTCGGCTAATTTTTGGACGAGCGATCATCTCTCGGAGCGCTCTCGAAGCGTGGGTGCTGTTTTTGAAACGCGCGCGCGCGGAACACCCACGTTGAAGCGACGTCGAATCACCCTTTTCCTGCCCTGACGCGCTCCTTCTTGATGTTGAAGAACGTCGACACCTTGTGGTGGTGACGCGTTTCATAAAAGGTACCCGAGCTGTTGAGTAGGGCCGCCGGCGGCGACACGTCGATGCCGAAGATGGAGTGCTTGCGCCTCGCGGGGGAGCGGCCGTCGCCCGCCGCGTCGCCGGACTCCGCCGCGGCCTCCGACTCCGCCGCGGCCTCCTCGTCCTCGTCCTCCTGCTGGAAGACGACGGCGAGCGACTGGTTCGCCTCCGCGAGCTGGAGCTCCTGGTCCGCCTCGCGCTCGAGGAGCTGCGAGAGCTCGCGTTCCTTCGCGCGCTCCTCGTCGCTCTTGTCCGCCTTGTTCCGCAGCGCCTCGTACTCGCGGTGCCTCCGCGCGTTCTCCTCGGCCTCGAGGCACAGCCGCCGCAAGTTCTTCAGCCGCCGCTTCGCGATGTCCTCGCGGATCATGCACAGGGACACGAAGGCGTACTGGATCGGGTTCAGGCAGAGGAAGAGCAGCGTCGAGAAGCAAAAGTCCGTGAGCACGGACCGGTACGAGATCCGCGGCACCGTGGAGTAGAGCCCGTTCTGCAGCGTGAGGCACGAGAGCACGGGGATGACGGCCGCGGCGACGCGCGCGGGCGCCGACTTGCGGTCGATGAAGAAGCCGGAGAAGGACACGAGGAGCAGCGCGACGATGGGGATGATCGTCGTCGTGAGGTAGTAGTTGACCTTGCGGCGGAGCTTCACCTCGATGACGAGGAAGTCGTAGGGCTGCTCCGCGGCGTGGCGGCCCCGGGACCGGTAGTCGTGCCGGGCGTTGAGGTCGTCGACGGAGAACTCCACGGTGTCGAGGTCGCCCGTGCGGTCGTAGGCCGGCGTGCCGCCGTTGTCGATGACGACCTCGTGCGCGTTGTTGACGAACGACGCGACCTCGACGGCGCACGTGTGCTCGTCGAAGGGCAGGCGCGCGAGGTAGAAGGCGCAGTCGAAGGCCGTGACGAAGGACGTGCGAAGGATGACGCCCCCGGACGACGTCCACGCGATGCCGTACATGCGCTCCTCGGTCCTCACGATCTGCTGCACCGCGTTGGTCAGGCGCACGTCGGGCAGCCACAGGGGCGCCTGGCCGGACAACGACACGGGCACGGGCTGGACCATGGCATCGAAGCAGCCGCCGTCGGCCGTGCCGTTGAAGGCCAGGCGCGGGTCGTTCCACCAGACCTCCATCTCACCCCGCAGCTCCATGAACTTGAGCGACGTGGAGACCTTTTGAATCGCATCGATCCTGATCTGCACGCCGACCCTGTCGGCCGCGGCGGCCTCGCCGCGCGGCGTCGTCGCGAGCGTCGGCCGCATGAGCGGGTCGTAGCCGCTGCTCTGGCCGACGAGCATGTCGACGAGCTCCCCGTAGGTCTGGGGGCCGGCGCAGGCGCTGGCGGCGTCGCCCGTCTCGTCGAGGAGCCGCGCGACGCGCGCGTGGGCCGCGGCGAAGAGGAGAGCGAATACGCGCATCATTCTCGGGCGCCGGCGCCGCCGCAGTTCGAGAGAATGCCCAATCCAGCTGAGCGAAAAAAAAGCACGCCCGCGATTTTAGTTTTCGATGCAGGAGGTGGTGCAGCTCTCTCTCTCTAGCGCATTAGGCGACGCACCCCGCCTACGCGCCTGCCTTGGGCGGGCGCGGGCACCGGGGGGCCCACTGAAGCCGCACCGGGCCCCGGGGGGGCTCCTTTTGAGGGGCCGGGTTCGTCCCTGTTGCAGGGGCCCAGACGTCCCTGGCGCGGAGCTTGGCTCCTGACGCGGCCCGCGGAGCTTGGCTCTCGATCGGGGACGCTGCGCACTCGGAGGCCGCGAGGTCCAGACGGGGGAGCATACCGTAGCAGGGGGCCGACTGCCAGGGCCGACGTTGCCCGCTGCGATTTCTCCAGACTCAGCTCCGGCGTCGGCGCTTGGCGTCGACGCGGGCCGTCGCGCGATCGAAGAACGAGGCCCGCGCGGCGGCGCACGCCCGGTCGAGCCGGGACCGTGCGTCGCGGAGCTCCCGCGCCGCCTGCGTCCAGCTGTCCATTGCTTCGCGCTCTGGAGCTGCAACGCTCGCCGATCTCGGACGCCGCTCTCATTGCGCTGGCTGACTGTCCGATCCGTGATTTGCGTCTTTGCGACTGTCCGAATGTCACGGACGCTAGTGTCACCGCATTCCTGCCGACATGGAGAATATTACCCGACGTGAGCCTGTATTTTGGGCGCAATGCCATGACCGCGGCTTCAATCTCGGCTTCAATCTTGGCAATCGCGGCACAGGTTCCGAATCTGATTTCACTCTCGTTTGAAATCTCATTTTTTTCAAATTTATCTATATATGTCACGGATGCGCATCTCGACGCCCTTGCGCACGGCTGCCCCAATTTGATGCAGTTTCGATTCGACAATGATTATGTTGACATGAATCCAAGCTTCGAACTTAATGGCTCGCAAGAGTGGATCTCCAGAACTCGGGACTCGAATGAGGAGGAATATCTCGGTGAATATGTGCCGGGGAAAAGGGTATTTTTGCCAGTGACTTCGGAAGCTGCCGTCATCGCATTCAGGCGCTCCCTTCCCCACTTTGGCGACCACAAGAAGCTCCGGAAGATCTTGGATAGCTACGAGCTAAAATATTAGTCAATCTAGAGCGGATAGAGGCTGGGCGAACGGCAACCAGGCTTCAACCAAGATCAGCGGCAGCTCGGTTTGACGCGCTCGCCGGTGGCGTGCAGAACTCGACACCATGCGCGTCGTCCTCGCCGCGCTGTTCGCAGCGCAGACCAGCGCGCTCGTGCCGGCGCCGCGGCCCGGCGCGCAACCGATGCGGGCGTCCGTCATGGACGTGGAGGAGGTCCAGAGCTTCGTCTCCCGGGATAACTGGAAGACCTCCGGCAGAAACCTGCAGCTCACGGCAAGCGATGCGTCGAGCACGATCATCTTCGACGCGGATCACCCGGACCCGAGCGTCTCCGACCCCGTCAGCGTCGTCTTCCTGCCGTCTCTGGCGCTGCCCAAGGTCAACGCCATGTCGAGCTCGCTCCGGACCTGGTGCCGCCGCAAGGAGTTCTCCTTCGTCGTCGCGGACTACCACGGCGTCGGCCGGTCCACGGGCAACGTCGCGTGCGCGACGATCACGAAGTGGGTCGACGACACCGTCACGCTGCTCCGGACCGTCGCGAACCCGGAGGAGCACAAGCGCGTGGTGCTCGTCGGCGCGGGCGTCGGCGGCTGGATCGCCTGCCTCGTGGCGATGCGCCACCCGGACCTCGTCGGCGGCGTCGTCGGCCTCGCGTCGGACCCGGACTTCACGGAGGAGCTCCTGCTCAAGCGGCTGCCCCAGGACGTCATCGACAAGATCATGGGCGACGACGGCATGGACCAGGTCCACTGGGGCGGCAAGACCTACCCGATCACGAAGGCGCTCATCGAGGACGCCAAGGACAACCACCTGCTGCTCGACGGGCCGGACCGCGTCCTGCCCATCCAGTGCCCCGTGCGGCTGCTCCACGGTTTGTACGACGAGGAGGTGCCCTACGACGTGGCCGTGCGCCTCGCGCGGCGCATCGAGACCGAGGACGTGACCATCTCCCTCTCCAAGAGCGGCCACTACATGGACGACATCGACGACATGCAGCGCGTCCGCCTCGCCATCCAGGACTGCCTCGAGTCCATCTTCGTCTACGACCTCCGGTCGCCGACGTCCGGCTAGGCAGCGCTCGGCCCCCTGTACCATAAAAAGAGCCGTCTAGTGCGCTAGTAGGAGCTCGAGCGGCCCGGGAACGGCGCGACGCCGACGGACGTCGCGAGCTCGGGCCCACGCGGTTCCAAGCGCGGCCGGCGCCTCCGCCGCGGCCGGCGACCGCGCTACTAGTAGAGCGCCCCAAAAACAAAAGGAAGTCAATTGGTTGTACTAGCGAGGTTGCAATCCCTGGAGCGGGCGGCGGCCCTTTGCTGGGGCCGTCGGGAATTGGCAAGCTCGCTCGGCGGGCCGAGCGGCGAGCTGCCTTGGGAGGGGCATGTGTTTCGGAGGGTCTTGTGAGCGTGGGGGGTCGGTGGGGCATTCAGTCAGTGATTTCGGAGGCATGGCGCGCGGGACCGCGGCGGGGGCGTCGAGCGTCTCGGGTCAGGATCGGCGGGTCGAGGGCGCCCGCGCGGCCGCGGGGGAGGGGGGTTGTAGTAGCCCGACGGGAGCGATGCCGGCGGGATAGGGCGTCGGCGACAGACAGACAGTGGGGGGCAGGCGCGGCGCTCGTCGCGATCGTTCACGGGCACGCGCGCTTCGCCGTCGGCTCGCCGCTGAGCATGGGCGGCGCCGACAGCACGGCGGGGTTGAGCGCGCCCGCGCCGAGGACCGCGCTCTCGAAGGGCGCCGGCGCGAGGGCGCCCGCGGACGACAGCGGCGGCGCGGCCGAGAGCGCGCCCGGCGACGAGAGCGCGCCCGGCGCGGAGAGCGCGCCGCCGGCGAGCGCGGCGTCGAGCGGCGCGGCCGCGAAGGGCGGCTGGGCGCCGAAGGCGTCGTAGCCCGGCCGCCCCGGCGCGCCGCCGTGGGCGAGGGGCGGCGGCTGGTGGTAGGGCGACGCCGGCGCCTGCGGGTAGTGCGGCCTGTGTGCAAATCAACCAGTGAGCTGGGACGTCGGGGCCAAACTTCAGAATTCTCTAGCTCGGTCAAATCGAAGTCGATTCGGCTGATTTTTGGACGAATCGATTGCTCTCGTCGGGTTCTCGAAGCACGGCGGAAGTGCTTGTGTCAAAACATTCGAATAAGCGCAAATTGAAGTCGGGTTGAAGATTTGATTTGCACACAGCGTGCGGCGGCGGCGGCTGGTGGTACGGGGACTGCGACCCGGGCGCGTGCTGGTAGGGGGGGCTCGCGCCCGGCGGCGCCGGGCCGCCGGGCGGCGGCGGGCCCCGGGGGGGGTCGCCCTGGCCGAAGATGCGGCCGCCCTGGGTGCCCGCCTGCGCGTTCGCCGTCGCGCGCATGACGTAGGCCGACGGGTTGCGGATCGCGCCGCGCTTCCGGCGGAGCTCGAGGAGGATCTGGGCCGCCTGGAGCGTCGGGAGCGCGGCGAGGGCCGCCGTGGCCTTGGAGTCGAGCTGCGAGTACTCGTTGACCATGCCGTCGAGGCCCTCGTTCCACGCGCCGTCGGGCGGCTTCGCGTCGTGGCGCGCGTTCTGGTTGTAGAGGTAGCCCGGGTAGTCGACCTGCTGGCCCGGGCCGAAGGGCTGCTGGGACTGGGGGCCGTAGTTGTTGTAGCGCGGGTCCCCGCCGCCCTGCTGGGGCCGGCCGCCGTGGTTCTGCTGCGGCGGCGGCGGCGCGCCGTACTGGCCCTGGGGCGCCGGGCCGCGGTCGTAGCCGCCGCCGCGGCCGCCGAAGCGATCGCCGTAGTTCTGGTGCGGCGGTCGCTTCGGCGGCTGCGGCGGCGGCTAGGA